CGCACGAGCGAGAGGATCAGGCACAGGACCGCGCAGGCAGAGGACGTCGTGGCAGTTGGATCGAGCGAGGGTGATGATGGGCATGAGGAAGATCACGCCCGTGGACCCCCTCATAGGCCGCCTGGAGGCGCCCCAGGCGGCCTCTGATCCACCCCCTCCCCCGTGGATTCACTCCGGAGCCTGGGGCTGCGTCCTGAGCCACCCCTCCCCTGTGAATTAATTCCAGGGTATATCACGGGGCCCAGGGCGGTTTCCCGATCCAGCGCTCCTCCGTGGATTAACTCCGGAGTTAACTCGCGGGGCCCAGGGCGGCGCCCTGATCCGCCCCTCGCCCGTGGATTAACTCCGGACTTGACTCGCGGCCCAGGGCGGCACCTTGATCCACCCTTCTCCCATGGATTAACTCTGGAGTAAACTCGCGGTGCCCAGGGCGGCGCTCTGGTCCACCCTTCCCCGTGTATTAATTCCGGAATTAATTCACTGGGCCCAGGGCGGCGCCCTGGTCCACTTCTCCCCCGTGGATTAACCCCGGATTTTATTCACCGGGCCCAGGGCGGCGCCCTGATCCAACCCCCTCGTGGATCAACTCTAGAGTTAATTGTTGACGCTTCGCGTATCCCCACCAGCCCATCCAGAAACGATGCTCAGGGGAGTTGAGGTGATCAGGGAAGTCGGGGAGCATGCAGAATAACAAAGGGGGGGGAAGCTGTCACAGACCCCGAGAGGGGGAGGATGGAAGAGGAGTCGTCGTCGTCGTCGTCGTCGGAGGAGGAGGAGGAGGAGGAGGAGGGGGAGGAGGAGGAGGAGGAGGAGGAGGACGGAGAAGGAGGAAGAATCGGAGGAGGAGGAGGAGGAGGGGAAGGAGCTTCTTGGGGGTCTTTTGAGGGCCTCTTGGAGGGCTTTTTGGGCGCCTTGGGGCATCTTGGGCGCCTCTTGGGACCCTCTTGAGGCGCTCTGGGGAGCCTTCGGGGCGCTTTTGGGGCCATCTTGGAGGGAGTCGATCAAACAAGAGGGGGGGTTTAATTAGCGTCCCCCCTCGGAAGCCCCTAAAATCGCCTCTTGGACCCCTCTTGGAACGCTCTTGGAGTGCTCTTGGGCGCTCTTGGGGCCGTCTTGGGGCTCTTTTGGGGCTCTCTTGGGGCCCTCTTGGGCCATCTTGGAGCCATCTCCAGGCCTCGGATGGCCATCGGAAGCGAAAAGGCGAGAAAGCAAAAATCATTGATTTTCCTTAGGTTTTGGGACGATTTTGGCCTCTTCGGGGCCTCCTTGGGGAGCTGTTTGGCCACTTGGAGTTATCTTGGGGCCGTCTTTGGGCTTCTTGGAACCATCTTAGGAGCCATCTCGAGCGATCTTGCGCTATCTTGAGCCATCTTGGAGCTCATCTTGGGTTCTCTGAGGCGCTCTTGGAGCCGTCTTGGGCCATCTGGGACGCTCTAACTACCCGCGGCCCCCCCCGTCCAGGTCCAGGGGAGGGGGTAGGGGGAGGGGTAAACCCCTCCCCAAGGGGGAAGAGGGAGGGGTGGAAGAGGATCTGCTCTAGACCACCTACGCCCAGAGGGCTGGTGGGATTCACGGCGCCCAGAGCGGCGCCCTGGTCCACCCATCCCCCGTGGATTAACTCCAGAGTGAATTCACGGCGCCCAGGGCGGCGCCCTGATATACGTTTTCTTTGTGGATGAACTCCGGATTTTTTGTAAGAGTGGATCCTGCTGCTGGGTTTCCCGTGGATTAACTCCAGTTAGTTCTTCCCAAGATGTATCGCCGTGCCGCCTTTCCCGTGGATTAGCTTTAGAGTTAATTCTTTTACTTCCTAATGGATTCAGCCGCTTCCCTCCTCTGTTCCTCCTCGTCCTCCCTCCCCTTCCTTCTGCCTCCCGGGGGTGCAGTGTGCCGCGGCGTCGACAACCGGAGGTGCTCGATGCTCTGCAGGACGCGTCCAAGAGGCTGGCCGCCAGTGCGCAGCCGCGTGCCCTGCGCGTGGGCCAATCGGGCGGGCCCCAGGTGGCAGTCCTCCCGGGCGCCCCTCCAGGGTGCCACCCGCCACCCAGTTGCGCCGGCCCATAGGCAATCTGGGGTGGTTGGCGTTTGCAGCGGGGTGGACCTGCTCCGAGGGGCCGCCTGCAACACGCAGTCCAACCACGCAGTTCTTCCTCCTTTTTCCTCCTTCCTCTTCCTTCCTCCTTCCTCTTTCCTCCGTTCTCCTCCTTCCTCCTCCTTTCTCCCTCCTCCCTCCTTCCTCCTGTTTCCCTCCTCTTTCCTCCTTCCTCCTTCCTTCTTCCTTTTTCGTCCTCCCTCCTCCTCCTCCTTCCTTCTCCTCCTTCTTCCTCCTTCTGCCTTTCCTTCGCATGCTGAGATGGAACATGTCACGTTTTTTGACAACCGATCGTCGTAAGAAAAACATGTATTTTCCATGACAGCGTTTTTTTGTGACCACCGGTCGCCATACAAGAAAAAACGTGTGATGTTCCGTATCAGTTCTCCTCCCTCCCCCTCCCCCCTCCTCCTCCTCCTCCTCCTCCTCCTTCTGCTCCTCCTCTTTCTTCCCCTCCTCCTCCTCCTCCTCCTCCTCCTCCTCCTTCCCCTTCTCCTCCTCCTCCCCCTCCGCCGCGCCCTTCCGGTGCCTCGCGCTGTTCGGCTGGTCGATGAAGGCGCACTTCCGGCAGGAGCGCCGCGGGGGGGGCGGGCGGGGAGGGTGGGGCGCCGCGGAGGTGGGGCGGGCGCCCGGCCAGGCAGAGCGGAAGCCGAGAGGCGGGGCGGGCGCCAGTGCGGAACCGGAGGGGAGTGTCCAGTATCGTGGAACCGGACGAACGAATCGAATCAGAAAATCGAAAAACGAATCGAAGATCAGAGCATGCAATTCGTTAGAAAAAGAGGAAGAACCGCCATAAACATAACTTTTTTGGGTTCCGCGCGGATTTCTTGGATCCGCGCTGGGCCTCCCTTGGCGGCGCCTCTGGCGCCGCCCCTGGCGCGCTCCGCCGGGGAGGGGGGGGGGTCTGGCGCGGATCGAAGACATTCGCGCAGAGCTCCAAAAGTTCCCCAATCAGAGCTTGCCTCTGTAGGGTTCCTAGCGGATTCATTTGGTTAGGTTAGGTTTGCCGCCGATTTTCGCCGCACGCCCGGGTGGCCAGGTGCCCGGGGGTGCCTGGGTGCCAGATTCCAGACTGGGTCTCGTAATTTTCCTGACGGTCCCGCCAGGCCAACCCGAGTCCCCCCGAACCCGAGTCTTACGTGAGACGGCCTGCGAGGCCCCCAAGAAGGGCCAAGAGTGAGTGCTCCCAGAGGGCCGCCGAGGGGGCCCCACGAAGCAGAACTCGCTCCGTTCCGCAAGGACAACGCGCAGTTTCGACATGCATGCCTTCTTCGTCTTGGCGCCTCCCACAGCGGCCAAAGGAGCCCTCAAGATCGTCGGAACCGTATCCCGTCTTCCGCCGATGTGATTTTTCCAATTCGTGCCCGCAGAGCTTCTGAGCCCCTCCCTGGGGGTAAGCAGTCTTGCGCCTCGGGTCCGTTTTTGGTGGCCCACTGGGCCCAGAAGCCTCCCTCGCCCCCCCCCTGGGGGGCCGAGACCGAAGCAAACGCGCCCGCGGTGGAGTTTTGTTCGATTCGGAGATCCCCTTTATGCGCATCTCAGTTCCTGGTGCTTCCGTCTGTGAGTGCTTCCGTCTGTGAGCGTCTGAGTGAAGCTCTTCGCCTGTGGCGGCTGATCAATCCCTGGCGGCTCCGCCTTGGAGCGCCCAAATGCTATGCATGCCTGCTACATCGGGCTGCTCTTGAGACTGTGCAGAGAGAGGTGTCTGGGGTGCCTCAACCATCGTTTCGTCTGACTCGCTCGGGATCTCCTCACGATTTGCTCTGAAGGCAGAGGAGTCCCAGCCATGAAACAAGCGCCTCGCTCGAGACGTCCCCACAGTCTGGCCGCGAACGGGCCCGTGTACACCCCCCTGGCGGCTCCCCCGTTGGTGCTGAAACCAGCGCCTCGCTGAAGACATCCTCACGATCTGCTTTGAACATATGGAAGCCCAAGCCACCATGCAGGCAAACCGCCTGAGACCTCCCCACAATCTGGGCGCGAGCGGGTCCGTGCAACGTCCCTAGGCGGCTCCCCCGCTTAGGGTGCTGAAACCAGCGCCTCGCTCGAGATGTTCTCACGATCTGTTATGAAAACAACGAGACCCAAGCCACCCAGCAGGCGAACCGCCTGAGACCTCCCCACAATCTGGCCGCGAGCGGGTGCGTGCAGCACCCACTGGCGGCTCCCCCGCTTAGGGTGCTGAAACCAGCGCCTCGCTCGAGCCATCCTCACGACAGGGCCGGACCTAGACGCTGCTTTGCTGAACTTCGGCGGTGTCTTGCTCTTCGTTTTGGGGCAGAGGTACGGGAAGACAGGCAGAGCAAAACGAAACACACAACGAAAGCAGAGCGAACAACAAGCATTCGGTCCAGCCCTGCCTCACGATCTGCCCCGAAAGCAAAGAAGTCTGGGCGCGAGCGGGCTCGTGTGACACCTGGTGGCGCCCTCCGCTTCTTGGGGGTGATGAAGCCGGCGCCTCACTCGAGGCATCCCGACAAGTTGAGTGCGACGCGAGCCCGAGTCTGAGTGGTCTGTCTGAGTGTGTCTGAGTGCGAGCGCGTCCGAGTGCGAGTGACTCTGAGCGTGTGTGAGTCTGACTGCGAGAAGTGAGCCTGGGTCTGGTTGTATCTGAGTGTGAGGGAGCCTGAGTTCGAGTCTGAGTATGAGTGAGTTGGAGTGTGAGGAAGGAAGGAGGCGGGAGGGAGTGGTTTTGGATGCGGAGGCGTCCCAGTAATATTTGTTCTTGAACGGTTTGATCTGAACGATTTTGAATGTAGTGACGTGTACAAGTGTTTTTCTCGAAACCACCTGCAATGATCCAAGGGTTTACAACATCGGAACTTCCTGTCTTCTCTCACTCTGCTCTCTCTCTCTCTCCTTCCATAGCCTGTCTTCGGCTCGAGACGGGCGGCAGCCAGCGGGCCGCATGGCTTCGCGGGCGCTGCCTATCTCGCTGCTGGCCTTGGTGGCCGCTGTGATGGCGGTCTGGGCGGGCTGGAATCACCCGCCCGCTCGGCGCCCACCGCCTCCAGCCCCCGCTTGGCTGGAGGGGCTCGCGGGCGCTTGCGAGGCGGCGTCGGACGCCGCGCACCGCGTTGAGGAGGCGGTGCTTGTGGCGGCGGCTGGCACGCCGCCCCCGCCGCCACCCCCGTCGGCGGTGGAGTGCCCCGCCCCCGAGCCGCGGGGGCACGAGGAGGTGCTGGTGCATCTCTTGGTGGCGCTCGCGAGCCCGTTCATCAGTTGGGCGGCGGGCTCGCGGCTGCCTGGCGGAGACGCCGGGCCGACCGACGGCCGGAAACTCTACGCCTTTCGGGCGCGCCCGACGCTGGCGGAGCTGGAGGAGCACCTTTGGTACTGCAAGGGGGTTTGCGATGGCGGCGCACGGTCGAGCTCGCCTTGGGCTCTGCGATGCCGCTCGCCCACGCCTTTGGCTGGGGGGCCGGTGGGGCTCCCGTGCTGGGCGGCGCTGAGGCTCCTCCTGGCGAAGTGGCCGCAGCCAGAGACGTTCCAACCCCCCCAGGCGAGGGCGACGTCTGGGTGCTGACTGAGCCCACCCCTACCTTGGATGTGGGGGCGATCGTCAGCCCCGTGGCGGGGGCCCTGCTTGGCGTCGGGCGAGACGCAGTGTGGCTCCATCGCGGCCGTGCTCCAAGCGTCACCTTGATAGCGGAGGGCGTGGTGGCCGAGTGGAAGGAGCACCGCCTCGCCGAGCTGCGGGAGTTGCTGGCATTCGGACCCGGCGAGCCCCCCATGGCTGCCCTGGAGGACCAGCCTCCGGTGGCGGCGAGCTCGCGCCCCGCGGCCGATCATGGAGCAGGCGAGGCAGCTCCACCCGGTCCCCCCGAGGTCTCGATGGGCGACGCGGCCGCGGAGGACACTCAGACCCTCTGGGTGGAGCGGGACGACCAGGGCGATCGATACAAAGAGTCCCGGAAGGCGGTGAACGAGTCGGTGAGCTACGACTGGAATCATCAGCGCCTGGAGGGCGGGCTGACCTGCCTGCACGCGTGCAAGATGATGTGCCGCACGTCAGGAACGCCCCGGGCCTGCCTCGAGAAGTTCTTGCGGGAGAAGCACATCGCGCCGACCGACCGCGTCGCCCACGAGCTCCGGCCTCTGGTGGGGGCGCTGGAGTAGGCGGCGTGCTTCGATCAGCTGAACCTCGGGGGCCTCGCGTGCCTCGAGGTGGTGGTGCGCCGCCTGACAGCGATCGTGGACTCCTACAAGCGAGGAGGGGCTCCATCGTTCGCGAACGCGAAGTACCTGGCCCCTTTGGGCGACGCGGGCGAGCTGCTGGCGCCAGCGCTCCGCAGCCACGTCACACGGCGGGCCGAGGAGCACTGGGAGGTGGAGCTTAAGAAGGCCGAGGCGGTGGGCGCCCGTGCCGCCACCCCAGGGGGAGCTGGCGCGGGCGCCGGCGGCGAAGCCGGCGCAGGGCGAGGCGGCGGGCGAGGAGGCAGGGGCGGGGGCCGCGGACGCGGCGGCCGGGGCCCCAACCTCCCCCCCCCGGTGCAATCGTGACCGAGAAGACGCGCCCAGGGGAATGGGTGGGCCCCCCCTGGGCGGGGTAACATGGCCCGCGCTGTCGCTCTGCCGCCGTCCGATTTTGAGAGAGACTTCTTCCCGGCCCCGTTGCTGCCTGACACCTCTGAGGGTGGCCCTGGGGGGCGGTCTCGGCGTAGGGCGCGGCGGGGGCTGCTGACGGTGAAATCGGTGAACCGCGCCCTGGCTGGCTTGAACTGGATGGCTGGCTTCAAGGGCGAGGAGTCTTCACCCGGTCCAGGCGTGACGACACTGGACAAGCATGCAGCCTTTCAGCGCCGCTTGCTTAGCGAAGCTCTTCGGCGACAGTCCGCAGCTCCAGCAGTGGCGCCGAAGGCGGAGGTGGCCTTGCGAGTGCTGCTCCGGGGGCAGTCCGTTTACGTGACGGACGCTGCCCCAAGGGACCTCGTCTCCTACCAGGCCGGCCGGGTCTCGCTGACCGACAGCGTGCACGGATGCCGCTTCATCGAGGAGATCGTGAGCTCTGAGGGCCACTTTTTTGGGGGGGGAGGAGGGTCATGCGCGTGTGAGGTTGGGGCCGGAGACGGTTGATTATGACAGCATGCCGCGTCGTTACATGTGCCCGGTGCTGAAGAGGAACCCGAAGGCCTTCCGCTCGCCGGCGCGGGAGTCGGCCGAGCGAGGGCTCCTGGGAGTGACCGCGCGGCCAGCGGAGTCGGTGGGCATCTTTTTCGTGGCTAAGTCTAGCGGGGCTCTCAGGGTGCTAGTGTATGCCAGACGAAGCAATGGCCACTTTCGATCCCCGCCGGGCGTGCGACTTCTTAGTAGCGAAGGCTCCGGGCGCCTTGAGGTGGAGCTCCCGCGGGGCGCGTCGCCGGCCTCGGCTGAAGGGCGACGCCTGCTGGGCGGCTTCACGGCGTGCTTGGCGACGACCGATGTGAAGGACTGCTTCTACAGGGTGCGGATTCAGGAGAACCTGGGGCGTTTTTTCTGCTTGCCCGCGGTGCCCGTGCATGTGTTCAGGGGCCTGGACGTCCCAGGGCTGGGCCAGGGGCTGGCGCCTGACTCGGAGGTGAGGCCCTACATGGCCGTGCTGCCGATGGGGCTCACTTGGCCCTTCTACATGGCCCAGACTGCCAGCGAAGAGCGGGTGCGTCGCAGCCCGACCTTGCGGCTTGCGACCCTTGCGGAGCGGGGGCAGGGCCTGATCCGCGACCGGGCTGGAGCTTCCGTGCTGCGAGCCCGGGGGCGTGGCTCAGCTGGGGCCAACGCGTGCGTGGATAACCCCGTGTCCGACAGCCCCCGCATCGGCGAGCAGATTGTCTCGGAGTGGAGTGAGCTGTTCGAATCGGTGGGGCTGGCGCTACGCAAGATGGAGGCGCGCAGCGGGCGCGGAGAGGCTCTCGGGGCCGAGCTGGATGGTCGCTGCCTGCGTTCAGGCACCTCGCCCAGTTGTTTTTGGGAGCTTGAGCGCGGCCTCTACGGACTGCTAGCTCGGCGCCGGTGCAGCGGGCGAGCGTTAGAACAAGTAATCGGCCACTGCGCATTCTGTGGGCGCGCAGCCCGTGAGAGTCTGGCGATCTTCCATGCGGTCTATAGGTTCATCTCGTCCCTGTATGTGGCTGTCACCCCTGTTTGGGCTGAGGTAATCTGTGAGCTTGAGTCCTTTAGAGGGATGTTGCTCTTGTTGACCCGCGACTGGTGGCTTCCTTGGAACCCGTGCGTCCTCGAAACGGACGCCGGCGTAGCAGGCTGGGCAATCGCCCTGAGCTTCTGGGGGCCTGCCGAGGTTGCCTGCTCGGGCAGGGATTCCGAGAGGGCCCGTTTTCGTCGCGGGGGGTCTCGCTCGGCCCGCGTCTCCGCCCTGGCCTCCGCCCGCCTCTTCCGAGACGACGTCGGCGAATGGGGGGGCGCCATGCTCGAGCAGATGGCGGCCAAGGTTCCCCCCGGGGACCGCCCCGAGCTCGAGCTTGACGACGACTGGGAGGTCGTTGCGGATTTTCCCGAGGTTCCTCGGCCCCTCCTCCGCGGCTCCGCCTGGGGGGGGGGGATTTTGATCCTTGAGGCTCGGGCCCTTGTAAAGGCCATGCAGCGCCTGTCCAGATCGTGTCATGGTTGTTGCGTGAGGCAGCTTTTTTCTTGCGCGGTAACGTGTCGGTCGTACTTGCTCATTCTAGATCTCGCAGCCACGAATTAAAGCTCCTTGTTCAGATCTGGCGTTCCGATGCGTATGCCCTCGCTCTCGGGATAGCGCCCCATTTCCGCTATGCCCCTCGGAGTTCAATCGGAGTGATGCCGGGGGCCGCGATCATTCCAGTGTTTCTTCTAAGTTACCAACCGATGTCTTGGATCAGCAGTGTGGTGTAGGTCAGCCTCGCCCCGCCTCAATCCGTAGCCGTTTCGGCCCTCGTTTGACCTCCCAGCATTTCGACGCCGCCCCATATCCGCTCGACAGTGATGCTGCGGACCAGGGCCTCGACGGTGGCCCGTGCGAGGGCGGCCCCGCCCGCGCCGCCGCGACGGGCTTCGCTGGCAGCGGGGCGCGCCCTGCGCGTGCTGCCCCGGAGCGGGGCGTTCCCGAGGCCGCTCGCAGACGGACTGCCCCGCCAGGCGACGCCTTCGGGAGGCAGAAGGCGCCGGGCGCTGGCGCCGCCGGAGCCGCCGTTCGACATGAAACAGGCGAAGGTCAGGAGGCTCGACCCCCTGCCTCGTCTTCCTCGCCCGGCCACCCCGGCGGATTACGCTGCCGGGGCCCCCGCCGCCGCGAGCGCGGAGGCCGGCGCGGCAGGCGACGACTCCAGTGGGTCGGACTCGATGGTGGGCGCGACCGCGGGGCCCGACCGCAAGTCGCGCCGCCGCCAGGCCTCCCGCCGCCGCCGGAGGGCCTCCGCGTACGCGGACATGATCCCAGTGGCTTCCTCTGGAGGGCCGACGTTGCTGGGGCGCCTGGCGGTGCCTGCCAAAACGCGGGGGCGCTTTGGCAAGTGCCTAGAGAGGTTTCACTTGCGCTCAGGCCTGCGCGACGAGGCCCTGGAGGCGATGAGGAGGCCGATTGCCAGTTATGCGATTACTTCACGGCGAAGTACCTAGAGGGCGAGCAATGCATTCTGGGAGAGCAGACGGGAGCCGCCCTGTGGACCGCTTCCCGGCCTTCGGCGCAGAGGGGGGCCGCGACCTGCCTCGAGCCTGGCGAGCCCTAAGGGCCTGGCGGCGGCTGACGCCCACCCGGAACAGGCGCGCGCTGCCCCTGGCCGTCTGGTCGGCAGTGATGCGGCAGCTCGCGGAGAAGGGGCTGGGGGTGATGGCGATGTTCATTGCAGTGGGGCTGTCAGCTTATTCGAGGCCCTCTTCGCTGCTGGCGGCTCGGCAGTGCGACGTAGTCCCGCCGGCCCGAGGCGCGGCGGACCGGTGGGGCCTCCTCGCGCACCCGCAGGAGGAGGCGCCCCCCCAGCAAGGCCAACCGCTACGACGAGGGCTGCCTGCTGGACTCAGGCTACCTGCGGGGACTGGGCCCCGCCTTCCAGCAGCTCCGCGGCCCGGCGACCACCGCCCCGCACTGGCCGTTCAAGTGCCCATCGCTGGCGGCGGAGGTCAAGTTGGCGGCCGCCGAAGTGGGTGCGGGAGAGGTGGCGCCGTGCCAGCTGCGGCACTCGGGAGCCAGCATCGATGTCTGCAAGAAGATTCGGTCGCTCGAGGAGGTGCGGGGGCGCGGCTGCTGGACTCTGGCAAAGAGCATGCGCCGATGCGAGCGCAGCAGTCGGTTCAGCGCCGAGTACAACCGATTCCCCGCCGACCGGAGGAAGCTGTACGAAGCCTGCGAGGCGCGCCTGCTGCAGATCCCCCCCGGCCAGCCGCGCCCGATCAGGGCGCCGCGCGGGATGGCAGCGTGGCAGGCGCGCGGCCTGGCCTGAGGCAGACCCGCCGTGGCGGGCGGCCCCCGCCGGCTGGGCCCTCAGCAGTTTGCCGCCCTTCAAGGGAGATATGTGGCGGACCCCTTCGCTGGCGGCCGTTGCGTGGCCAGGCCGATGCGGCGGGTTTCCGCGCCCGCAGCTGGGGCGTCTTGCGCGATCCCATTGGGCAGGATCTGCTGAAGCGCAGCAGTGCAATGAGACGGGGCGGGCGAGAGGGCCTTGCCGCCCCCCTCGCCCCCTCGTGCCAGAGCAGCTTCTCAGTGGCCAGGGGCGTGGCGGCCTGGGCCCGGTCAAGTGAGCAGCCGTGGGGCCTGTCAGCCAGCCTGCTCTCTTCAGAGGATCGTGGCAAGGTGGCCTTGGGCAACCAGATGGCCAAAGCTGCCATCGCGTTGTTCTCTTGCTTTTGCACGATAAGATACCTGCCTTGCTGGGGCGCCCGCTGACGTCGCCCGAGATTCAGAATCTCGCTAGGCGGTCGGGGGTTTATCTGGTAGAGCTTGACCAATGCCGGTTCAGAGCTAAACGCAAGAAGCCGACCCGCCTGATGTTCTGTCATGTCGTCGAAGACGATTTGCGCGACCTGTGGAGAAGGTGCCGAGGCCGCAAAGGGCAGTGCCCCCGAACGGGGCGGCCCCGCCCCCAGCTGGAGGACAGCGCCCGCGCTCGCCCAGCAGCCGCGTGCCCGCCAGAGCTTGCGCGCTGCGCGGTCCGCGCTCTGACTGCCTCGTCTATGGCAGCTTGCGGGTATTGCAAGCAGCCCCGCCCTAACCCACCCTCGGGAACTCCCGAATTCGGGTAACTCGGGGAGGAGTGAGAGTCGCTGCTGACTATGACCTCCGGCCAAGACGTTTCGAGGCATTCGTCAGGCTGTTCTCTGCCGTGTGAAAAATGAGGGCTCTATTTGTTCTTGAACGGTATGAGCTGAACGATTTTTGCCTACCTAGGCTCTGCCTAGAAGGGTTCTTACGCTCTGGGCTTAAGGGGCGGCCAGTGGAAAGCGCCCCGGGCGGCTCCCCCAGTATCCGCTCCGCGGTTCCCCCAGTTGCGCCTCCTTAGCTTAGCTCTGCCTATTTCATTTTAGTTTAGCCTAGCTTAGCTTAGCCTAGCCTAGCCTAGCTTAGCCTAGCTTAGCTTAGCTTAGCTTAACTTAGCTTAGCCTAGCCTAGCTTCGCTTGGCTTAGCTCAACTCAGCTTAGCTTAGCGCAGCGCAACACTCGCATACCATATCATATCATAGCATCGCATCGCATATCATAGCATAGCACGGCAGATCATATCATGACGCATCATATCATATCATAACATAGCAGAGCTTAGCTTAGCATATCACATCGCATCATAGCATACCATAGCTTTGTATAGCGTAGCATATCGTATCATAACACTGCATAGCGCAGCGTATCATAACATACCATATCATCGCATATCATAGCATATCACATCATATCATATCATTGCATAGCACATTACATCACATCATAACCTAGCATAACTTAACATATCCTATCATAGCGCAGTATATCATATCATATCACACCATATCATAGCGCAACCTAACATAGCATATCACATCATATCGCGGTATAACATAGCACATCGCAGCATAACATGACATATCGCAGCCTAGCATACCCTAACATAACATAACATAAAATCGCATAGCGCAGCATAGCGCATCATATCATATCATAGCATATCGTCGCATATATAGATATGAGTGTATTTGTATTTGTATATATATATATATATATGTAGATGCATGTGTACATGTAGATGTATCTGTATGTGTAGATATGGATGTATGCCTCGATGCACGTGTAGGTATCAAGGTGTACTATTATCATTACTACTACTACTACTACGACTACTACTACTACTACTACTACTGCTACTGCTACTGCTACTGCTACTGCTACTACTACTACTACTACTACTACTACTACTACTACTACTACTACTAATACTACTACTACTACTATCACAACTGCCGCTACTGCTACAACTGCGACGGTGAGGAGAAGGATGAGGACGGCGTTTACCGTTACTACTAACATTGCTCTCTTCGGGGCTCCAGCTCCTAGGTAGGGTCGCTCTGGGATAATGAATGTAGTGATGTTTACAAGTGTTTTTTTCGAAACCACCTGCAACCTTCCAAGGGTTCACAACGTCGGAACTTCCTGGCTTCTCTCATTCTGCTCTCTCTCTCTCTCTCTCCTTCCATAGCCTGTCTTCGGCTCCCACCCTCCACGCCCTGGGTGGAGTGAGAGTCGCTGCCGACGTTAACCTCTGGCCAAGACGTTTCGAGGCTTTCGTCAGACTGTTTTCTGCCGTGTGGAAAAAGAGGCCTCTATCAAGAATCCCCTACCGACGATATGTGGAATAGCAAGAACCCATGCTTAGGAGATGGGGAATACATCGTTGCAGATCTGGGTAGACTGCCGTCTCGTTCTCTGCGGGTGGGCCCACAAGATCGGGCGGGGCGGAGTCGACAATTTGGATCCGCCACGTGATGCGAATCTGAGGAGGAGGGGTGGTGGTGGTGGAGGAGGAGGAGAAGGAGGAGGAGGAGGAGGATGTAACACGTGGCGAAATCCCTCTGCCCGGGTGGGCCTCGGCTCTGGGCCCGCCATGCCCGCCCGCACTGAAGGGCCTGAGGCAGAGGTCCAGGCGCTCCTCCAGAGAGTGTGAGCCCCCGGCCCATTGCGGGAGGGGGGACGGGGGGGGAGGAGGGGAGGGAGGAGGGGAGGAAGGAGGGGAAGGAGGGAATGAGGCGGAAGGAAGGAGGGAATGAGGGGGCAGGGGAGGGGGAGGGAGGGAGGGACGGGCAGGAAGGAGGGGAGGGAGGGAAAGAGGCGGAAGGAAGGGGTGGGATGAGGGGGGGAGGGGAGAGGGGAGGGGGGGAGGGAGGGGCGGAGGCAGGTGGAGCGAGCGAGTGGCCGTCGCGGAAGACAGCGGCCCCGCATGTGATAATTTTTGTTGTGATTCTTTCAGCGACCGACGTCCTGTTTTTTCCCAACCATCCTGTGGTGTTGGGTCCTCGTTTTGAAAGGCAGCGCCCGCGTCCTCCTTCCTTCTCCTCCCGCTGCCTCCCCTCCTGCTCCTCCTGCTCCTCCTCCTCCTCCTCCTCCTCCTCCTCACCCTCCTTGCCTCTGCCCCTTGCATGTCTCTGTTTCGGCGCACCCCTCACACGTTTCGTGGCCCTGTATGGGGTTTCCACCTACGGTCCCAGTGGCGCAGCCCGCATGGCGCCGCCGCCCCATTGTGGCACACCCCTCACACGTTTCGTGGCCCCATAGGGAGCTCCATCTAGGGCCCCAGTGGCGCAGCCCGCATGGCGCCGCCGCCCCTTTTTGTCACACCCCTCACACGTGTTGTGGCCCCATAGGGAGCTCCACCTAAGATCACAGTGGCGCAGCCCGCATGGCGGCGCCGCTCCATTTTGGCACACCCCTCACACGTTTGGTGGCCCCACAGGGAGCTCCACCTAAAGTCCCAGTGGCGCAGCCCGCATGGCGGCGCCGCCCCATTTTGGCACACCCCTCACACGTTTCGTGGCCCCACAGGGAACTCCACCTAAGGTCCCTGTGGCGCAGCCCGCATGGCGGCGCCGCCCATTTTGGCACACCCCTCACACGTTTCGTGGCCCCATCGGGAGCTCCATCTAGGGTCCCAGTGGCGCAGCCCGCATGGCGCCGCCGCCCCATTTTGGCACACCCCTCTCGTGGCCCCATCGGGAGCTCCATCCAGGGTCCCAGTGGCACAGCCCGCATGGCGGCGCCGCCCCAGTTTGGCACACCCCTCACTTTTCGTGGCCCCATCGGGAGCTCCATCCAGGGTCCCAGTGGCACAGCCCGCATGGCGGCGCCGCCCCATTTTGGCACACCCCTCACACGTGTTGTGGCTCCATAGGGAGCTGGATCTAAGGTCCCAGTGGCGCAGCCGAATTTTGTTACACCCCTCACACGTTTCGTGGCCCCAAAGGGAGCTCCACCTAAGGTCTCCGTGGCGGAACTCGCATGGCGGCCAGTGGCGGAGTTCGCATGGCGGCGACTTTCGTTTTCTGGAGGTTTTTCGTCGTATTCGACGTGTTGAGGCCGCTTTCGAGCCGCGCATCCCGGGCGGGAGCCAGCCTGCTCGCTCGTTCTGCTCCGCGCAGCGGACGACTCGCGCGCGTCGCCGGGACCCCTTCGGGGCGACCAGCGCGCGACGACTCCGTGCGGCGCCGCGCCCGCAGCCTTGGACGTGGGCGTGCAGGGGCAAAGAGGGAAAAAAAAAACGGGAAGGATGCGGGCGCGATCCTCGTGAGAGGCGCGCCGACATGGGCGTCGACATCTATGCACGTAGACTCACGCGCGCAGACTCATCCACAATCAGACTCACGCGCTCTCAGTCTCTCGCGCACAGACGTGTCGTCTACACTCGGGCCGAGGTGTAAGATCGAGGGCGGTCCAGGGAAGGCACCCTGATGTTCTTCGTGAGTGTTGGACGCTCTTGTGCATCCTGGGGGGGGCACCCTCAAATGTTCTTTCTTTTGACCGGCGGAGCGTCTCATGTTCTGGAAGGAGGTTCGTCTGTCCCAGGTCTGGCCGTAGCGGGCACCACGTAGACAGCACCACCGAGCTTACACCACACAGCCTGCACCATGCAGCCTGCACTTCCCAGCTCGCGAATTTGACGTCTTGAAAGTTTGTTCATTCGTGACTCGCGAATCAGAAAGGCCGCCCGGTCAGGAACGCCACCGGGGCAGGCTTTGAAGAGACATGGCCGTGGGGGTGGCCGACGAGGAACCCATCGGGCGACGAAATCTATACATATCCACTGTCCTTTGGCTGGGCCCTTCCTGGGCCCAGGAGCTGTGCATACGCCCTCTTAGGCAAGCCAGGAGGGTGTGGCTGCTGGGTTCAGGATAGGCCTGGCCAGGGAGCAGTGGATATGTATAGAGATCGTCGCCCTAAACCCTCGCCCCAGCGCGGGCCACTTTTCTGGATCCGAGTCTTGCT